AGGGGAGCCCAGCGTGTGGAGGGGAGAAGGAGAGAGAAGGGCGTGCATCAGGGGAGCCCAGCGTGTGGAGGGGAGAAGGAGAGAGAAGGGCGTGCGTCAGGGGAGCCCAGCGTGTAGAGGGGAGAAGGAGCCTCCAGGGTCTGCCGTGCCCGGGGCCCATGCAGCCGTGGCAGGTGGCCGGGTGGCGCGTGGGTGGGGTTACCTTTGCCTTTTCCCCAAATAGTGTTCTCTGTTATTTTTATTTTTATTTTTTTGAGATGGAGTCTCACTCTGCCTCCCAGGCTGGAGTACAGTGGTGTGATCTTGGCTCACTACAACCTTCACCTCCCAGGTTCAAGTGATTCTCGTGCCTCAGCCTCCCGAGTAGCTAGGATTACAGGCGTGTGCCTAGCACAGCCAAATCACGTCGAGGACCAGGGTGGGGTGTTTCAGAAAGCCTGTCACTCTTGGGCCACCTCGTGCAGTGCACAAAGGGACCCCTCCGGAGTGCCCTGGTGCCCTGAGAGACCAGTGTGCCTGTCAGAGTGGGTGCAAGCTGTGACAATGCAGCTCATGTAGCCCCACCACCGAGTGCGTGCTGTGTTCCACGCATCCTTCTCCAGGTTCAAGCGGTTCACCGTGTTTTGATTGCCCATGAAAGCATCTCACCTTCCTGTACTTTTTGTCCTTCCAGGTGCTGCTGTCCGGACTCATAGGTGTCGTCTCCTGGAAGAGGCCTCTCTCCCTCGTGGTAAGTGGCACCTGTGTCTCCAGGTGGCCTCGGAGCAGGGTTCCACCTTCAGATGTGTGAGCAGGTTGGAGGCAATGGCGAAGAGAATTGTAGGTTTTTTTCAGGCAGCAGGAAGCAGAGCTTGATAAAATCTCACTGCTGAAGGCTGATGGGCTCATGAGAAGCGCTGTTTCTCGCAGGAGGTGCTTCTGAGAGTGCCGCTTGGTGTCTTGCTGAGATGCTTCAAGAGCATCCTCTTTGTGTTTGTTTTGTTTTGGTGTCCTGCTGTAAGGACCGAGCGTGAACCAAGGACTTTTCTTTTTTTTTTGAGACGGAGTCTCGCTCTGTCACCTAGGCTGGAGTGTAGTGGCATGATCTCGGCTCACTGCAACCTCCGCCTCCCGGGTTTAAATGATTCTCTGCCTCAGCCTCCTGAATAACTGGGATTACAGGCACCTGCCACCACGCCCAGATAATTTTTGTGTGTTTTTAGTAGAGACGGGGTTTCACCATCTTGGCCAGGCTGGTGTTGAACTCCTGACCTCGTGATCCACCCACCTTGGCCTCCCAAAGTGCTGGAATTACAGGTGTGAGCCACTGCGCCCGGCCAACAACGGCATTTTAAAAGTGTGGATGCGGCTTGGCACGGTGGCTCAGACCTGTAATCCCAGCACTTTGGGATGCCGAGGCGGGCGTACACGAGGTGAGGAGCTCGAGACCAGCCTGGCCAACATGATGAAACCCCATCTCTACTAAAATTACAAAAATTAGCCAGAACATGGTGGTGAGCATCTGTAATCCCAGCTACTGGGGAGACTGAGGCAGGAGAATCGCTTGAACCTGGGAGGCAGAGGTTGCAGTGAGCTGAGATCGCGCCACACCATGGCACTCCAGCCTGGGCAACAGAGAGAGAGTCCATCTCAAAAAAAAAAAAAAGTGTGGATGCATGCGTTTCCTCTAGACTTTAAAGCCTGTTTATGCACTATACATGCATACGTATGATCACACAAACAGAACATATTTTATCAGCGTTCAAGAAATGTTAGAGTTTTGTGTTTTGGGGGGAACCCTAAAATTCTGTGAGTAAAATAAAGAGAGTTATTTGAATTGCTGTGGCATTGTGCTGAGGAGCAGGCCATGCGGGAGATGGAGAGGAGGATGGTTTTTCCCTCGGAAAAATACCCTAAGCAGATTTGTGTCTATTGATTTGTATGCCTGTTCTTCTCAGTGTATGCATTAATATATGTATGTGTCCGTGCCAGGACTAGAGGAACAGGTTTTCCGGGTTTTGATAGATAATGAAACAGACAGCGTGGCATTTTTCTTCTTTTATATTAATCAATTATTTAAAATCTCCTCTTTAAGTGATTAGACTTGGAGATAATGACATGTAGTAAATATTAATGGGAATAGAAAAATAACCCACATTTGTCTATTGAAAACACCTCTTCTTTCATGGGAGTAACCGTGACGCCCTAAAATGGTATCAGAGAAGACAGGAGTGACCTGAGAATCAGCTGAGGCTCCTCTTCTGCTGTATTTCGGCTCATATAAGGAATTTCCTTTTAGAAAAATATTTTTATTTAGAACTTTCAAACATACATAAAAGTAAAGAGACTGCTGTCAGGAACCCCTGTGTACCCCTCATCGGGCTTCAACAGATGTCAGCATCTGGTCCATCTTGTTTTGTCACTATCTCCCTACCTTCCCCCCCAGCCCCTTGCTGGATTATTTTGAAGCTGGCTCTTGGTGCCAAGGGGAGATGCAGTGAATAGGTGACTGTGGGATTGACGTCTTCGGGGTATGCAGTGTGGCGACTGCGCTGCCTTCAGTGACACGGGGACAGCTGCCTCCTCCGTCCACACCCACCTTCGCGGTGCAGACAGATTAAGCTCTCTAAACAAAGGAAAAGCCGCCTTCCACAGAGTGGGTGTGTGGACGAAAAGACAAGAGAGGACTGACGTCCATCACCCGGTCACCCCCGCGTGCCACCCCCGGCCCTGGCCCCAGCATCGGGAATCTCACGGGGCTGGGCATTTTACCGCGCAGGATGCATAAGCTTAGAGCGGACGAGGAATTAGGACCCCTTATGGTGGTGGCTGAGGAGTGTCCCAGGGAAGTCAGGGGAGCAGGCTGCGGTCTCAGGACTCATCCCAGTAGAGGGACATCGCAGCAGCTGGACCTACTGGAGCGGAGTGTTCAGAGCGCTTGCTCCCCAGCCCTGCCACAGTGGTTGGAGCAGGGCCAGCCTGCTCTCTGGGAGGTGGTCAGCACTGACCTCCCATGGACAAATTTCCTCCCAAGCCCCAGGCAGAGGGGAAGGGGATCATGTGGCTTGACTGACTTCCTTGCCTTATGTAGGGAGGTTAGGGTATCATTAGGGTGACACTAACTGCTGGTACTATCCCCTGACTTTCAGTGGCTCCATTAGGGCAAGGCTAGTCTGGCCCTTGTCCAGGTCAGGCATGGCCTGTGATTGAGTCCTTCACAGAGGGACTTAGGGACCTGGCTCCTTCCGCCCGAGGGCCGCAGTGTTTCCTAGGGCTGTGAGATCCGCTGCAAGTCAGTGACAGGGAATAGAGAACAGAAAAGGAACCCTAGCAGTTTAATTTGCTTGGTCCGAAAATGACATTCATTGCTTGCCTTTCAAGCCATTCAGGAGAGCTTGTCCTGAGGCCCCATCTAGGAACCCGTGGACCCGTGGCAGGCACTGCCTCTCTGGACAGTCGCTTCCCAGAGGCAGTTCTGCACTGCAGACGGACTCTGTGGGTTTTGCTGGGTAGTTTGTTGTCTGTACCTTAAGAATGTTCTTCTGTCGTGTTGACCACAACAGTACAGTCTTGATTCATTAGCAAAAACTCACTCTCTGAATCATGACCATTGAGATAGTCTCGGCTTTGGCTTCATGAGGAGTAAAGGCATTCACAATAGATGCCGGGAAAATCTACAGTATAAAGATCTATTAGGGTGCTCTAGAAAAACATAACCAAAGGGAGATATACAGATAGAGAGAGATATAGATAGGTATACACATGCATTCACACACGTATATATAAATACCTAGATTATAACATATATGTATGTGTGTGTATATAGAGAGATTTATTTATTTTAAAGGATTGGCTCACACGGTTGTGGGAACAGGCAGTGTGAAAGTCTGTAGTGCTGGCTTATAGGCTGGACCCAGAGCTGAGGCTGCAGCTTTAGCCTGAAGGGAGGCGCCAGGCGGAATTCCCTCCTCCCTGGAGGAGATCTGTCCTTTTCTCTTCTTTCCTCTGACTGGACGCCGTCCACCTGCATTATGGAGGGTCATCTGCGTTGTTCAGAGTCTGCTGGCTTAGAACTTAATCTCATCTACAAAAATACCTTCACAGCGACATCCAAACTAGTGTTTGACCACATATCTGGGTACTGTGGTCTAGCTGAGTTGACACTTAACAGGAACCATCACCACAGAGTTTTTGGAAATGTGACCAAAGATCTTCTATCCAGAAGAATACCAAAGAAAATACTGTCAACAATGACGGCAGCCATTCCTCGAGTGGGACCTGTGTGTCCTCACCTTCACGGCAGTCCTGGCAAGAGTAGGTTTTCCTACTCTTTTTTTTTTTTTTTTAAAGAGTTTTTAAAGTTTAAAATAGTTTTTTTAAAAAAGGTTTTTAAAACAAGGCCAAGGCTTCCACACCTTAAGTAATGAGCTAGGACTTGAACCCAAAGCTCTCTGACTCCCAAATCCTCCTTTTTTCCAGCCGACTGTAATCTGTGTGGACATTGTCTTTCTTCTCTAAGTATATATATATATCACATGACTTACATTCCTTCAACCTCATCTTCTTGTCCCTTTGTATCTTCTGTCTCAGTTGGTGACACCACTGCCCACCCAGTCTAGAAACTGGGGCGTCACTCAGACATCCTTCTCCTTCCTCACCCATCATGCTTATTCACAAGCTCTCTCTTTGTGACTTATTTTATTATTATTACTATTATTATTATTTTGAGACAGAGTCTCACTCTGTTGCCCAGGCTGGAGGGCAATGGTACGATCTTGGCTCACTGCAACCTCCGCCACCTGGGTTCAAGTGATTCTCCTGCCTCAGCCGCCTGTAGCTGGGATTACAGTTTTTTTTTTTTGTTTTGTTTGCTTGTTTTGTGTTTTTGGTAGAGACAGTGTTTCACCATGTTGGTCAGGCTGGTCTCAAACTCCTGACCTTGTGATCCGCCCACCTTGGCCTCCCAAAGTGCTGGGATTACAGGCCTGAGCCACTGCGCCCGGCCGTGACTCATTTTATTTGTATGCAGCTGCCCCTCTCTTCTCTCTGCCTTGAGCCACCATTCTAGGGCAGGTCCTTGCCTGGTATCTCATGTAGTGACCTCCTAACAGATCTGTGTGCCAAAACTCTGGCTCTTCTCCAGCCTGTTCTCCGCACACACAGAGGCCATGGGTGGTATGTAAAGTGTCCGCCGGACTGTGTCACTCCCCTTCTTTAAGCCCTTCGTGGTTCCCCAGGGCCCACAAAATGGAACTGAGGTTCTCCAGATGACGTATGAGACCCTGTGCAAGGAAAGAGGAAAGGAAGACCTAGAAAGCAAAGTACCCTGTCCTGGGACTTAGCACTAGAATGGCTCGAAGTCTTGATTTCGGTGATTTTTAAAATAAAAGCTCCTGCTTTTGTTGTCTGTGCTAATTATGTGTTTTTCTTCCTGGAGGTGTCAACTAAAGATGCAGCCGTGAGTTTTCTAGTTCATTCCCGGGGGACACACTGGCCTGCCCTCCCCCGAACGCCTTCCGTAAAGACCACACAGTGAGCTGCCCTCTGTGAAAGGAGAGTGTCCCTCAGGAGAGTGAGAAGCAGCAGTTCTGGGCCCATGGCTCCAGAGTCTGTGCAGCCGCTGCATTCGCCCTGCAGGCCTGGCTGGCTGAGGACAGGCGTGCGTGGCCCCTGCTGCTGGAGCGTTTTGGTGCTGCCATTGCTCTCCTGGCAGCAGCTTTCCTCTGCAGGGCTCCCAAGCACAAGGCCATC